TTTTTTTTTTTTTTTTTTTTTTTTTTTTTTTTGAGGGGGGGTTGAGTGTGTGAGGGTGGTTTAGTTTTAGTGGTTTATTATGATAATTTTTTTTTTATTAGACTTCTTTTTTGTGAATGCAACCTCCTGAGGCCAAAAAGTATTGTGAAGTGTTGGTGCCTGTGTGTTTTGACGAGCAACTGCTTGGGGACATCAGGTGCCAGAATAAACCCTTTGTCCTGGCAGGGTGCGGTGAACAGACACGTCTGTGAAGGGCATGGACAATCCGCTGCCCGTCACTCGGGACGATCCACTCTGCCAAGGCAGCAGGAGCTCGAGGTGAAAGTGAAGAAAAGAAAGTTACCGTCTCTCATTAAGATTTATTATACGTCTGAGCTTTTGTAGTCCCGAAGCTTAACGACAGATGGTGGTGTAACTCCACCAATTTTGTAACGTCTCCTTTTCTTTGATGTTGTAATACAGATTCTCCTCGACTTGACTTCGGTTAAAACCAGCATTTTCTGCTCCTTCCCAAGTGTATCGGAGCAGTATGCAGGGAGGAAAGGGAGTGCACCTAGCTCGGAGAAGAGTCTGTTATGTGTTCTTGTTTGCTTTCTAAACAATCCTAATAGAAAATAGCAATCTTATAGACACCTAACACTGCCAGCAGCACAGAGAAATTACATTAAATTAATTAAAGGAAAATGGTTTCAAAGCGGTTTATTTCAAGCGAGAAATACAATTGTGCAGATGAAATCTTGAACCCTAAACAGGAACAAATAAAACGCGCCAGCGTTTTTCATTAGAAAGCCCAGTCACATTTTATACCGTAGTCGTCCTTGAGGAAAAAAAAAAAAAAAAAAAAAAAAAAGAAAAAAAAAGAAAAAAAAAAGAAAAGAAAAAGAAAAACAAGGTGGGGAAAACGTGTGTTTGTTTAGCTTTAATTTTGGGTGGAACTGCCAAGTCGCGCCGGGTAATATCAGCGGCCAAGCGCCGTGTTGTTATCTGCACATTGTGCCCACCAGACAGAGGGTCTGCCTGCGAGGCCACACTGAACAGGACGAGGGGTTCGTGGAACAAAGCTCAGCCCGCGCAGAGGGCTGGGAGTGCTGCGGGCACTCGCGGGAGCGGACGGCGTTCAGCCCGACGGCGGCGGCCCGTGGCAGGGCAGGGTAGGGCAGGGCAGGGCCGGACCCGCGGGTCGCCGTGCGCCGCCGCTCCCGTCCCGCTGCCTGGGGATGCCTCGGCCGCCTGGCGTCCAACGAAGCTGACGTGCCCGCGGCCGGGCCGCGCCGTCCCGCCGGTTCAGTACCGCCGGCTAACCCCACAGAAAGTGCGCTGCACGCTGCCTTCCGCCGGTACCAGGATTTGTCCGCTACCGCAGACGGCTCCTGAGGGAGAGCTGCCTCTTCCCTGGGGCGCGCTTCCTGCCCGGGGTCGGGGGGGGGAGCGGCGGTCTCCGGACCGCGCAGCTTGCGCCCCGCGAAGCTCCGCGCCCCTGCCCGTGGAGCCCATGGGCGGCCGGAGCCTGCGGAGCCCGATTTCGTTTGCGGGCCGGCGGGGCTCGTAGCGGCCGGTCCCGCGCGGCTCCCCGCCCGCCCCGCTGGCTCGTGGGGCGCGGCGCCGTGGAGGGCGGCTGCCCGCGGGAACTCTGTCCCCCGGCTCCGCGGGGTGCGCGGCGAGTGCTCCCCGCAACCGTTGCGCTCGTAGCCCTCCGCGGTAGCGGGCAGCGCCCCGGTAACCCGGGGCAGCGATGGGGCGAGGAGGGGGGGACGAGGGGCAAAGAGACAAAAGAGCCGCGAGTAGCAAATAAATATATTTTACGGCCACCCATCGGCAGCACCGCGGCCCCGCGAGCCTCTGCCCCGGCGCTGAACTTTCACCTCGCGAACCCGGCCGCGCCCCATTGGCTGCCGGCCGGCCCGCCGCGCCCCGCACGGCCCCGCCGCCGCCCCGGCCCCCGGCCCCGCCGCCGCGGGCGGGCGGAAGGGTGCGCGGCGGGGCGGGGGGCGGCCTGGGCTGGGGGCCGCCGCGGGGGGCCCCGCCGAGTTGCCGGAGTTGCGACGGCTCCGCCCCGCGATAGCGGCTCCCCCCCGCCCCCCCCCTCCACGCCGGTGCCGAGCGGCCGGCGGTGCCCCCGCCGGGGCTGGCCGGCGGCCCCGGGAGCGAGCGGCGCGGAGCGCGGCGGGCAGGCGGTCTGCCACTTGCCTGTAGCAGCGAGTGGCAAAGTTTGTGGGATTTTAAATTGTGCTTAATAAATGCGGTGACTGTTAATTCTGAGTGACAGTCACTTGTGATCCTGACCCTCGGCGCGTACAGAGAGCCCTGCTAGCGTTGGGGCTGCCGTGCGATAATTAGGTGGGCTCCGAAATAACAAACCCCACGTTCCGCTCGGCCATCGCCGTCCCCGTTCTCCCGCGCCCACGCAAGGTCCTTCCACCCAAACAACACCCCCAGCGCCGATTTACTGGGAACCGTGGCGAGGACAAGGGAGGACAAGACCAGCTCTAGACACGATGCCAGCACTTTTCTTCCCCACTGCCCCGATACCCTATCCCACGCAAGAATCGCTTAAAAGTGTTTTTCCCGGGGAGGAACAGCAGCCCCAGGGCCGGGCGGCCGTTCCAGACAGGCGGGGAGCGGCCGGTCCCTGCTGCGGCCATCTGGGGGGTCCTGCACCTTGCTCCAAGTGCCGGGGTCGTGGAGAAGAAAAGTTTCAAGGCCCACGCGTGCCTCCTCGGCATAGCTGCTGCCAGCGGCCAGGCCTGCCCCGCCGTCCCCCTCCCACTCGGGTTCCTCGGGCTGCCTTCGCGCGGGGCCGCGGCACCTCGGGGGCTGCCAGCAGGCTGCAGCCGGCCGGCACTGCCAGCACAACACACGGCTTTGTTTTCCGCCCGTCTGCTAAACTCGTTGTGTCTAACGGAGCCGGCGGAGCAGGGCGGCGGGAGGGGAGAGGGGGCGGGAAGGGGCAGCCGCCGCCAGCAAACAACTTCCCCGACGGTTTGTTTACATAGCAGGTGGAGCTGCCGTCCGCCGCGACCCACAGCGCCCGCTCCGCCGGGGACCGGCCGGGGGAGGCGCGGACGGAGTGGGGCACGGCCCGGCGCATCCCGCCGCACTTTTTTTTGTTGCCATTCCCCCTCCGCTGCTTTCCCCCCCCACCCCTCCCCGCGTTATTAGCACTTCTGTGCAGGCCACTCTGCGATCATGTGAGGGAGGGCTCCCTTCGCACTCCCCTCTCTCCAAAGCAGCCGGTGTGTGAGGCGGCGGGTTTTCTTTTTTTTTTTTTCCTAGTCTTTTTTTTTTTTTTTTTTTTTTTTTTTTTTTTTGCATTCCCAACAAAACACATACACACAGGCAGCACACTCCGCACACGGGCGGACCCGCACGCCGGGGGAGGGAGAGCAGCACCGCCAGCGCCAGGCAGCACCAGCCGGCGGGAGGGCGCGAGGCTCCGACGCCGCTCCGCGCCCGCGGAGGGCCCCGCGCCGCCCGCCCGCCCCCGCTCCCCCGGCCCGCGCGGCGGCTCCGCCCGCAGGGACTCTGTATGTGCGCGCGGCTCCGCTCGCCCTTTCTCTCTCGGTGTCAGCTCGCCGGGACGCCCTACACGGTGTCTCCTCCCGGTAAGTGCTACCCCCCCACCCCGCCCAGCACACCCGTCCCCTCCTCCCTCCGTTCCCCGGTGTGACTTGCTACTTCCACCCGCTTCCACCCCCCTCCTCCGCCGCCGCTCACTGACTTGCCGCCGCCGCGGGAAAGTTTGGCCGCGGCCGGCGCGGCCGCGGCAGTGACATGTGTCAGGTCTCCCGGCACCCGGTGGCACCGCTCCCAAACACGCACCGCCAGCGGGGGGCGGGGGCGCGCTCTGCGCCGGGAGCCGGCGGTGCCCCGGCCGGAGTTGGGGCCGTGCCCGCCGGGCTGGGCCGGGTCGGCCGCGGGAGCGGGCGTAAGCTACCCCCAAACAACTCCGCGGCGGCTGCGGTTTGGCAGGGCCTCCCTCCCGCCGCTTAGAGCCGCACAGCGCCGCGGACCCCCAGCCCCGCGTAATTAAAAACAAACAACCTGTAGCCTCCCCGCACGGGTAGAGAAGTGCCAGGCAGGGAAGGCTTGGGGCCAGGCTGCCGAGGAAGCGCGTGCGGGAGGCTCGGTTGGCCGCCGTTTGCCTCCCCGATTGTGCGGTGGTGGGTTTGTTTTTGTTTTTGTTTTGTTTTTGGTTTTTTTTCCCCCCCCCCTCTTTTTTTTTTCTTTTCCTTTCTTCTTCTTTTTCCCTGAGACCTCCCTAGCAGACAGCCGGGTGAAGAAACGTGTCACGTTTCTCCTTTGTGTGCTGCCTGCCCGCCGGAGGGAGAGGCGCACCCCAGCCCCCGCCTCTCCGCCCGCCCGCGCGGAGGGGCCGCTGCCGGCCGCCCCCTCGGGGCGCCCCGCGCCGCGCTGCCCCGGGGCGCCCCCGCTGGCGTGGGAGGGGAAGCGCAGGGGCGCCGAGGTGCCCGTGGGGTAGCGGAGCCCCCGGCGCTGTTTGCTCTGCGCAGGGAACAGGGTCGTCCCCTCGCCCAAGACAAAATTGCCTAAACCCTACAATTAATAAATAATGGTTTTGGAGCTGCGGGGTTCCGGAGGCGGCCTCCGTGCCTGGTACGTGGGGGCCTTCCCTTAAAATTGGCTTTGAAGTTGAGAAGGGCTTCGGGACTTGGAAAGTTTGGGAAGCGTGATAGGTTTTGAAGAGAGGGGAGCGGCCACGGCCGCCTCGGCTGCGGAGCGGGCTAGACCGTGCCGTGCCATCGGGAGTGCCAGGGCAGCCGTGGGACGGAGGGCGAGCGCCGGCGCCTCCGCTCCGCGTTCTGCCGCGCCGAGCGCGGGGTGCGCAGGCGGCAGCGCTCTCGTAACCTGCCGAAAAGCCGTGTGCCGCCCGGCGGAGCCTGCACGGCCAAGGTAAAGGCAGCCCGTGAGGCGGTTCTGTTCTTTTCCCGTAGTTCCGCTCGTGTCAGGTTCGGCAGCGGGCCCGTGTCGCAGCGCAGCCCCTGGCCGAGAACGCTGGCGAGCGCTGGTAAGGTCCCGGGATGGAGCTGCTGGAGAGGGGTGAGGCTTAGGCTATGGGCTGGCAGAAAAACGCTCATCTAAAATTTGCGAGAATAGTCCAGACACAAAGTGGGCTGCTGGTATATTCTCAAGGGAAAAATAATCTCAAAAGTAACCACCGTGAATTTTTGGTACTGTCCTCTGTTAGTAAAGAGTGCAGAGCTACAGATGGAGAAATGGGCAGTATCCTTTACCTGGGAATCGCTTATACTTTTAGGAAGTCTTGCTTGTGTACATATGTACCGAGAGAAACGCAGAAGTTCCTCTTCCAAAGAAGATCTTCCCTGGTCTTTTCTGTGCGTTAGAGCCCCTATCCAAACTCAGCTCCAGAGGGTGGAAATCTTTCCATTGACAGCAGCAGGAATCGCTCCATTGACTTCACAGGCTTGGATCAGGCCTTTGGAAATTTTTTTTACTAAGGTGGGACTCGGAAGTTGTGCATGGTGTCTGTATCCCCCCACTAATTCGTGTGTGTGTGCGTGGGGGGAAGAAGTCAAAGTTTTAAGAGATTTTGTCAGTTTTAAAATTTTTCTTCTGTGTGCTAAGTAGTTTAAAGCCATTAAGGAAAAACATTACTGCTAGTAATATTACTCTAAAGAAAATATGATTAATTATTAAATTGGTTTCTCTAATGCCACACTAAACCCTTTTAAGTGAGATATGGTTTTAATAGTTCAAATTAGTATTTTTAAAAGATTTTTCTTGACGATAATAATTTGTTCATGCAAATGTAGATATTCAAAATACCCCTGTTTTGAGGTAATCTGCAGTTTTAATGTAGTTTTTACAAAACGGTTTTGTTCTGTAGCGTTTTTGCATATTTAAATCATTCATTTAATTACTCAGGATAGTAGATCTGTAAAAGGTTAAGGGAAAGGAAAGGGAATTTAAAATACAGCGTTTCCAAAGTGCATATAGTTGGACATCCTAATTTATTTTGATAATATGTAACGCCTGAAATGCACTGCTTGATCTGAGGCCTTGTTGGTGTAGGCTTTAAGGTTTAACAGTAACCTTAGGAGGAAGCTTAAGCAGAATCAATTGTATTAATATTTGTGTATTTCTTTGTTTTTAGTTTAACCTCGGTGATTTTTACATTGTTTCACGGGATCTTTGCTACAGTGCAGTGTTTATATCATCTGAGAGGAGAGAAAATCTTAACGGTTTTATAGTGTTCAATTTAGTGAAGATTTATGTAAAATGACCAAATAATTTATGAGGAACAACCAAATTAGAGTGGGTTTGAGTGTGAGAAAAAGTAAAAGAAATATATCAAGTTCAGGACATTTCAATCAGTAAATACATGGTACTCTTTTAAAGCTGCACTAGTGTTTGTGCAGTAGTCAGGTGAATAGTTTCACATATTTTTGAAGTGACTTGTTTATTTGGTAGTGTTTGGCTTTTTTTTTTTTAATTAAATTTTTTTCTGTAATCATCTGTTGCTTATGCATTTTTAATGCTTTCCATAATATAATGTGTTGAGACTATAATTTTAAGAACAAAGGTGTATTTGCTTAGAAACATTCCTGTCAGACTGCATTATTTTTTTGAAAAAGTTCTTGTTGGACTTAAGTGTATTTTAAAAAAATTACTGTGGAAAAAGATTTTTTTTTTTTAGGACTAATTTATGTGAGCTGGAATAAGCTTTTTGCATTCTGAGAAATATACCTGATTCAGCACTGCATGCACAGGAGTTATTCGGGGCTAGTGGGTTGAAAACAATAGAAAACTTCTGAGATGTGATCCATGTTGTGGCAGTGTTTTGCTATGTGTCATTGAAAATGTCACTTAACCTCTTTGTTTTTCATCACTGAAATGTGAGGGCTGGTATCTATCTTCCTAATAGAATGTTTAATTATTATTTCTTGAATATGGAGTACTTTTTTGTTCTATTTCTATTTTCACCAGGTTTATTTTGGAGAAATTAAATTGTGATGGTGGCTGATAATGAATGGTTCCTGGGAGTCATGTTTTTTTTCTTTGTTGATAAGATTGTGAAGAGGTCACTTACTCATATGAAATGAAAATAATTTAGGACATAGGTCGCTGAAAAGTACCCATGGAATGATTTTGACTGCAGAAAAATGCAAATCACAATCAAAATGAAAAATGCTATCAACTTTCTTGTAAAATAATAATTTTCTCTACATTGCAAATGATTACTCTTTTAAAATTTTGTGACAGGTAATAGATCTAAAAGTAATGCAAATCGTCTATGTTTTTTTTTTTTGCTACAGCCACTGTAGCATAGTTCTCAGCTAATCCTTGTTAGAAGAAATACTTGTCATTTAGATTCCTGTTCCCTGCCCTGTTTTGACTTGATACCTTTCTTGATCGTATGTGTAAAATCGTAGCACCAAAAACCTTGTATAAATGATGAAATTATAGAAAAGCTTAGCTGTAATAAACTAACCTCTTGAAGTTAATCTTAAAATTGCAATAAAATAGTTCATTGTTTGTTGTTTGAAGGCTTCCTTCCACATTTATTCCTTTACAGAATAAGCATACTTGCTGTAATAATTTCCAAGAGCAGCTTTAGACTTAAATTTCAAAACTTCTACACCAGCATAAAAACAAGCACTGTTTATCTTTTTTTTTTCTCCCTTCTGAGGCTTTCAGTAGCTTAATCAAACTTGCTACATTTAAAAATCTTCCAAAATATTCGCTGCAAATTTTAAGAGGCATCTATTCTTCGTTGCAAGATTTGCATGTTTTGTTTTTCTGTTTTTTTTTTTTTTTTTTTTGTTTTGTTTTGTTTTGTTTTGTTTTGTTTTGTTCTGTTTTTTTTGTTTTTTTTAATCTCATTTCTGATAGGTTTTAGTTTAAGGGCAACACCCTTAACATGTTTTATGTCAGAAAGGTGGTTTTCAAAGTGCCAGCAATAGCTTGCTTATGCTGTCATCACTGAAGTAGCTGAAAATAATCTGTTTAATGAACAGTTACTACAATGTTTATTGCTTCTCCAATGGGGTGATAGGATTGGGATGATGTTAGAAAGTAACATTTGAACTCTGGGGAATGAATTTGTGTGGAATTATGTTTAATATCACAGTTTCAGTTCCTATTCTAAGAAAAATAAAGTTAAAATATAAAGCATATTGTTTTAAACTCTTTACTATCTTAAGTCTTTTTAGTAAGTTGTAGAGGTTGCTGAGGGGAGGGAAAAAGATCATTGTAGGTTTAACTTTTTGTTGATTTACTTAGTTATTTCTTTTTCCTTCTAATAGTAATTACACACCTGTAGCTGGAAATGGGTTTGCTGCAGTTTGTTTCTTATTTAACTATACACATTAATCAGGCTGGCTGCTGCGGACAGAGCTGATTCCCTTGGATGTGGAGTGCTGTGCCCTCCACATGCCCTGAGTGTGAGTGTCTCTTCTGCTGGGTGGCAGAGGGCTTTGCTGTAGGTAACAGACGACTTTCTAATTAGTTAGGCTGAGGAGCAGCAAACAGGTTTAATGGACAGGCAGCACCTTTGTTCCACATGTAGAAGGGAGATTTTCTACCCTGCCCGCTCCCTCCACTCCCCTTGCAGTGCTGTGTGATG